GAAGAGGAGGAGAGGAGAGGAGAGAAGAGAGAGAGGGAGAGAGAGAAGAGGGAGAGAGAGAGAGAGAAGAGAGAGGGAGAGAGAGAGAGAGAGAGAGAAGAGGAGAGAGAGAAGAGAAGAGAGAGGGGGAGAAGAGAGGCGAGAGGAGAGAGGGAGAGAGAGGAAGAGAGGAGAGAGAGGGAGAGAGAGAGAGGAGAGAGAGAGGAGAGAGAGAGAGAGAGAGAGGAGAGAAGAGAGAGAGGAGAGGAAGAGAGAGAGATGAGAGAGAGAGAGAGAGAAGAGAGAGAGAGAACAGAGAGAGACAGAGAGAAGAGACAGAGAGAGACAGAGAGAGAGACAGAAAGACAGATAGACAGACAGACAGAGAGACAGACAGACAGACAGACAGACAGACAGACAGACAGAGACAGACAGACAGACAGACAGAGACAGACAGACAGACAGACAGACAGACAGACAGACAGAGACAGACAGAAAGAGAAGACAGACAGAAAGAGAGAGACAGAGAGAGACGAGACAGAGAGAGAAAGAGAGAAAAAGAGAGGAAGAAAATGTATTAGATAGGGGACATTCAGGAAGACACATAACAAATTTACCGCTCATAGGCAAGAGCCCCATACATATTCAACACGTACTTTTTAAACCACTAGAGTGAACCAGTTAAAATGGTGAGCACATAACAAGGGAGTCACTGACCGGCCTGACTTTCAATTTTGATCATTTCTCTCTAGCTCTCCATTATTTAGATTCAAAGGTTTGTCTTCCCCTGATATCCGCTTCTGTTTTGTGGAAGATGAGATGGTGGATGACCCCCACCCTTCAACCTCCAGGGGTGTTTCTCCATTCTATACATACTTTTTTTGTATTCTATCACAGATCCTCATATCCCCATTGGGACTCAGACTGGGAGGACAGTAACTCGGAGAATCAGTCCAAGCTGCTGGGATTGTAACTCCCTGGGTACCCTACCCTTTGTCTGGTGGAAGGAGAAAATCCCATTATGCTTCAACTGCATCATGGGATCTGATCTGGGTGCTACATTAAGGCCTGACAAGATCTTTAGCAAGTTCCTGATAGAGGAACTGCTGGAAAAAAAATCATACAGGAGATGAACCAGTAAGCACGTCACATTCTGTTAACTGTTTGCTAGCTTGAAAATATATATTTACAATGTCTCATATTCTTCATATTGCAAACACATTCTTTACAAGGTCAATTCTCTTTTTCCTGCAGGTAATCATTCACAGCTTCAAAGGCCACCCTCTGCCTACATGAACTATTCGGGCTGTGAGAAGCTCCCACGAGCATGAAAACCTTAACCCACTAACGATAGGTGTCCCACATATGAGACACCCAAAAAAATAAACATTGCTGGGCGTCCCGCTAGTGTGATGCTGTATCGGGCCTTGCACTCTGACGAAGCAGTGAGCCACAGCCGGCAGGCGGGCAGAGTCTGGGGCAGCCCCACCCGCCGATTTTGTAGCAGCCCGGAATCTTTTATTTTCAGCTTCAAAATATATCGGCGTTAATGAGTTAAGTACAATGTTGTCAGATCTGCAGGCAAAGGGGCAAGGACGTGGACTACTGCAGCCCCCAGACAGGAATACTTGCCCAAGCAGTGGGTGGACAACTGGCTGGTGACAATGTTTTCCACAGTCCATACCAATGAGACAGTAATGTTTTTTTGCCAACCGCCAAGGGTAATGGTGGACTAGGACTTCTGCATGAAGGAAGATGATCTCAGTGATCAGCTAACCCAGCCACATGCTAAACAATTAAGTGGTACAAGATTTCCTTCAACCTGAATATCCATGAAATCCCTGGTAGTATAATTTAAGACAAGAGCTTGTGCAAGGCCTGTAACAGCAGGGAGAGCAATGAGGAAGATGAAGGAATCTTCCATCCCCTGCTCCTGCTGCTCCTTCCACTAAACACACACATCAGAAGACACTCCCTTCCAAAGATCAAGGAATCACATGCAAAACTGTGGGGGTTTCCCTGTGTTCATCTCCTAGCTTCAGGAAGTACTAGCAGCTCAAGGTGCTTCCTGAGCATGTAAATAGTTAATAATTGTAAATAATTGTATAAATTATATCTGTCTTTACCACAGAATAAGAAAAAAATAAGAAGAGAAAAGCAAAGAGAAGAAAAAAAAAGAAAAATGAAAAAAAAATATATATATTGTCTCCCAAGAAAGCACACCACTTCTTTCACACAGTGAATTGCCACACATATATAGTAATATGAAGTATATATACTATGATATAAATTAGTAATGTCCCTCATGAACATATCATACGGTTAAAACATTAACAGAATGAGTGCTGCACAGTGAATTCTCACCTTGTCAACTTACGGTTAAGATAATGCTCTACGCACCTTTTGCTCCTGTTCATTTGCCTCTTTTCCTTTGTCAGCGTCACTGGGTCCTTTCTCAGACTGCTTGTTACCTTCATTTTGATTCTGAGCATTTGGCTCCCTCCTCCCCTGACCTCTTTGAGCCCTGTTTGCTTGATTTTGCTGAACTGGCTTAATGTCTACAGTCTTGATGGTTGTCAAATTTGGATTGGCATTTGCTGTGGGCATGGAAAGTCGACTAGATATAGGGCCTTTCTTAGCCATACCTCCTCGCTGTCTGTTCACTGCATTGTTGAGTTTTTTCCACTGAAAATACAGAAAAGGGTATTATAAACTTATCAATTAATACATTAAATTCTTTTTCATTTATATGGTCTTCCATTCACAAAACAGATAGAACACTAAAATACTTGAAGTTACCAAATTAGGAACTATCAATACAGTTCACTATAATGAAAATTCATCAGAAATGAGAACTGAAAAGGTTAAATATAATCCATGAAAATAAAATTTTAAAAGATATGCAAGACTACGAAAAAATATATCTACTTACTGCAACAGACTGTTGGTTGCTCATTTTTGGCTGATTTATTCTCATGTGTTTGGGTGGCGAGTTGTTCATAGGTTCGCCGTCAGAACGTCTCTTGAGAGATGACCTCAAGTCATTTTCAATTTGCGCCTGATTGACTAGCTGTGAAAGTATTGCACCAGCTCCACATGGCACAACTGCAGCACTCCACTGAAAAACAAAAAATTAATAAAGGATTGCCTCTTAACCCCTTCAATCCAGGTGGCATGACCATCACATCATGAAAAAATTTGGTTTGAGAGCTGGGTGATGTGAACATGCCGTCTTCATGGCTAAAAATGGCTACGGACCAGGTGACCCTAACATGCCATCATGAGCAAAGGCCAAGGTGAGGGAAAAAGGCTCGCCATACATTCACAAACCTCTTGGACAATGATTGGTGTTTAGAAAGAGGCTTTTGCATTATTCCCATCAAGTGTGGAATGTAATGTCAGTAAGCTAAGGCTGGATGAGTACCGGCTCCAGGGAGGATGTCATTTCCATGCTTTGCATAGTATTCCTGACTGCCCATGACCAGTGGCACAGGTTGCATTACAGAAAATTTAATATAACTAAAAAATTAAATATTTGACATAATAGCAAAATATTATTTTTTCCTGAGTTGCTTATTACAAAGAGTCAAGATATGAGGTTTGTGCAAGGAAAAAAGTCTATTGCTATCTGGATAAAGCAATAAAGACATAAATATGGTCATTGGTTAATTGCAAAAAAGATTAAAATTTTGCAACTGAGAGGCATAGAGTCTTGTCACCGGAAACAAGTGTTCACATGTACCTGGTCAACATATTGCACGCCTGGCACAGTGGCCGCTTACATACCCTACCGCCAACACTGTGGTCCAAAATATTTGCTATGATGCAACCGGATTCAAGGGGTTGATACACCAAACAGTAAGAATTAAGTATATTCTGCTGAATTAATTTAAATATTTTAATTATGATAACTTGAAATGATTGTGAATCACACTAGAATGCAGTTGCTGATTAATGGAGTCTTAATCATTTCAGTGGATAATCTGAAGGTGTAATCCTTGACTCAAAGTTTACATTTGAATTACATATTAGAAATATGGACCGGGCAGTTTCACCCAAGTTAACCTGCTGGATCCAGTTGCATCACAGAAATAACAGTACCCAAAATATTGGCAGTGGCTTATGTAAGTGGCCAATATCCCAAGTATGCGGCATGTAGGCTCTTGAGTGGTGACAAGACTGACCTTCAGCTTTTAAAAATTTTGCAAAAACTTTTTTTTTTTTAGATTTTTTGTCATTTTCCAAAGTCCATATTTGTCTTTTCATTTGCTTTATCCAGATGGTAATAGATGATATCTTTTTTGTACAGACTCCATATCATCTCTCTATGTAGTAAATAAATAAGAGCAAGAAAAAAAGTGTAACATTTGGTTATTTGTGTCATAACCTTATTTTTTTCATAATTTTCAATTTTCCATAATACAACGTGAGCCGCCAGCAGGAGTTGCTAGCATGTAAATTGTATCCTCCCTGGAGCCAGCGCACTTTCAGTCACAGCTTATGCACCTTACATTCCACATTCATTTATCGATGGGAATAATGCAAAAGCCACCTTCTAAGCGCCAAATGAGTCTAATCACACTCCAAGAGGTTTGTGCACTCTGGCAAGTCTTTTCTGTCACCCTGGCATTCACTCAAGACGGCAAGTTCACATCACCTAGCCTGCGGCCATTTTGTCCGATGACAGCATGTTAACATCACACAACCCTCGACCCTGATTTTTCCATGACAGGAACGTAACTTCATCTGGATCATAGGGGTTAAATAAACATCATTTGTAAGTGAAAGATTTATGAAGATGAGAACGTTACTCGTAAATGCTTCTTTTCTTTCATTCTGCCTCAATTTGAGTAAGGTTCTTCTTTGTGGTTATCTGCTGCAGTCACCCTTAAGACGTCTTGATTGTTCCTCTGATTCCATTGAATTTCTCCTGTCTGACTTAGAGTTGGATACTAGGCATTGTGGGGATAATGGGGTTCATTCAGCCTTATACAAGATTGTAACCCATAATTCACATGCTTTCTATAGACCATGGACCATTTCCGGGTGTTCCACTGTGGTGAAATTTAATGCTTTTTGGCGTCTTCCAGGTGTCTCACATGTGAGACATAATCCATTGACCTAAGTAACAACTGTTAGGTCTACGTGGATATACTGAAGACAATTTCTTATTACACACATTACGTCATGAGGTCATAAAGAATGTGTGAAATCATTATTATTTCAATTTACCGGGATTTGACGTAATAAAGGGAGAACAAAGTAGGGGAATTATAATCAAATAGCGACACTGGAGTTGATGTCAAAAATGGGGAAAAAATAGGGATTTATCATCAAAGAGGGAAAGAAAGACATTATTATATAAAAAAAAAGAATGAAAGAAATTGGTGCTGAAGTCAAAAATGAAGAGGAAAGTGGGAATTATTATCGCAAAAATTTCACATCCTCTTGACGTGTCCTAGGGCAGGAGATCGCCACTGATGAGTCGTGTGGAAATTCCATGGGCAACTAGCTTACAAGACCTACAACCAAACAAGAGGGTGAGGTTCGGGTTGAAAGTCTACAAGCTCTGTGCCAATACCAGCCCAGGTACAAGGTGTACACTGGGCAGGAATGTGGCAACATATCCTCTTCCACAAAAGTGGTGTTTCATTTGATGGAGACTGGCAGTTTCCTTGGCTTGGATACCAGTTGTGTGTGGACAACTGGTACATGTCACCATCTCTCTTCCATATGTTGCAGACATGAAGGACAAATGCGGGTAGGGACAGCCCAGCTAAACAGGAAATTCCATGCCCAAGGACCTCAGTGTGAGGAGGAAGGGTGATGTCTATTACTGCTGCAGCAAGACAGGGTTGTTGGCCTTGATGTAGAAGGACTGCAACACTGTTACTATGCTGTCTACCATCCATACCATCACAATGGAATAAGATAAGAGATCCGTAGTAAAGGAAAAACATCAGCAAAAAGAGTGTTTAAGTTGGTGATCCTTCTTCCTCTTTGTTATAGCTATCATCAACGCCTGGGCCATCCATATTGCCCTAGGCGGAGAGGTTTCACAGATCTTCAGAGCTGGCCTTGCCTCTGAACTCTTGGGGTGTTGCACTGCACCCGTTGCAGCGAGGCAGGGTTTGCATCAGCAGCTACACATTAATGCCATTTGGAATGTCAATGGTTTTCGCAGCAGGGTCAGAGGAGCAGTAGCACAAGTTACTGCAGGAACTGTGACATGGCCCTATGCATGTACAGCTGTTTTGAGGCATGGCACGCCATTCAGTAATAGACAGAAAATAAAGTGTTGTTTTTTATAAAATAATTTCTGATTTACCCTCACCATACCTTAGCAAATATGTTACTGAAACATACATGGCATAATTAGAGAGTCTGGATTCTATACTAAAAGGTCAAACCATTGCCAGCACCTGCTGAGATTACATTTTAGCTTTATGAGCACGCTTAGGGGTAAACTTCAATAAACTCCTATGGCTATAAAAGGGGCATTAAGATTGGAGTTTGCACTCTGATTTTGTTCCCCGCACACCGTTATAGATACTGCCAGAAATGAGGCTTATCGCCACTTGTGCCAGATGTCTCACATGAGACGCCCGGAAAAATAAACTTTACTGGGCGTCCTGCCAATGCAATGCTAGATCGGAGTGTGAGCTTTGATTTTGTTGCCTGTAGCGGACAGGTTCCCGAACTGGCCTGTGCGCTGATTTTGAAGCAGCAAGGAAACCAATTAGTATAATCAATAAAAAATTTGCCGGGCTTCCTGCCAGTGTGATGCTCTATTGGGGCTCGACGCAGCAGCGGGCCGCAGCGGGCCGCAGCTGGCGTGCGCGCAGAGTCCGGGCCAGCCCCACACACCGATTTTGTAGCTGCCCGGAAACTTTTTATTTTTGGCTTCAAAACATACCAGCAGTAATGGGTTAAGTAACATTCCATTTCCCAAGAAATGTATTCCATATTGACCCAATAAATCCCGACAGCATGGGTCTGGTTATGATGGATGCCACCAGCCACATGGTTCACAACAGCCATGGCATGTATGTACATGCCACCCGGCGGGAATGGGTGAAATGAGTCATCTTAGATATATCATTTCTAAGTTAATCAAAAACTATCAAAATCACTAGAACATTTCCTCTGGGTCATTCCAAATCAGTTTACCATGGCATTTCACCATGCCTCAGCAAATCACTTGAAAGTTGGTACAACTGTTCCTTTAAGAGGTGTAAAAGCATGCTAATTTATTTTGTCATAGACCTTAGCCTTTTCATATCATTGGGGTTTTTATTTTTCCTTATTCAGTCCCCAAATTTGGATAGTACAGTGTCTGTGGATCATGCTAATTTTTAAAAATAAAAAATGATACTTGCATAACTCCCATATACTTGACATTTAGTGCATAGAGCAAACAAGGGCTCTAGATTTTTTAATATGCACTTATTTTAACCCACTCACACCGGGTACATTTTGTAGCCAAAATAAAAAAATTCCGGGAGGCTACAAAAATCGGCGGGCAGAGCTTCCCCGAAGTCTGTCCGCCCGCCCGGCCGTGCGCTGCTGCTGTGTCGGAGCGCAGCCCCGATACAGCGTCACACTGGCGGGACGCCCGGCAATGTTTATCTTTTCCGGTGTCTCATATATGTGACACCCGGCACGATTAGGTTAATCATAGGGGTTTCAGAAAATATTACCAAGTTAACTTGAAATACATGAAAAAAACAACAACACATACATATAATATGGTTATAGTGTAGGAAGAAGGGCCAACCTACATAATGATCTTCAAGGTACTTTGGAAAATATGATACTACAAAGTAATGTGTTGCTTCTATATACATGCAGGAGTGGAAAATTGGAAATAGAGTCAAAATCTTGTAAATGCTTTAAGGTCTCTCAAATGTTGATGATATATTATTGTCACTGCTTTTCTAAAATATTGTGCCAATCATTTTCAGGAAAGTATAAGCAAGTTTTTTTATATTCTTTGCAGATATTTTATCAGTTTTGAACAAGTTGTTAACTCTTCCATTTGATTAATTAAAAATAAGTTATTAAACTATATCTTTCAATTTCACATATATCTTCATGGCAATTTTATTTCTGTCATGTGGATTAAATTTGTGCAAGTTTCTTATTCCTGAAACAGTGGTTGCAGTTTCAAATCTCAATGCCAAGTTTCTTCAGGTTTTCATCTACTTCCTCCTCCTCAACACCCAAGAAACTCACTCCTTATACGGCAGAAATGCAAACTGAAACATGGATTCTGTGGAAAGGATTTGCTCTTTAGTTGTTTTTTGGAGGCATTCCTTTGCAATAAACCTTTTCACAGTTCTGCAATGCCATCACACAGTTGTTTACCACGGCTTGTTGCAAAGAAATTCCATTTTGTATCAAAGTCAAAATCTCTGATGGTTACACAGGTTAACAAGTTCTTGCAGTTTTAGCATTGCCTTGCACAGCCATCAGAAAAATATTTTATCTTTTTAATATTTGGCATGGTTGCCCTGATTTGAATTATTATTTTTAGCTGAACCATGTAAACAAAATGCTACATTATGTGTATTGTCACTTGAAATAATGCAGGACGATTTATGCTGTAGAGAATCCTCAGCCTTGAAGTAAAGTATCGCTATATCTAAAGTGCACTAAACTTCCTGCAGTGAAAAATGAACCATGGTTTGGATCATGAATTTATAATTCTCAGCAAAATCACCAAGAAAAAAGATTAACATCAACTCCCATTTCCTCTTTTTTCTGCTTCAAATATCTTGAATTCGATTTAGTCAAATAAGAATGGGGTGAAAGTTTATTCAATTGCAAAGACACCACATCAACATATTGAGGATATGAATTCCTTTTCTATTATTAAACTGATCTGTCAGTTGTGGTCCATTGTGAAAATTCAATTATCTCCGTATCATTATACTTTTCCTTTGCACTGTACAAGAATTCTTCAAGTAGCTTTATTGATTTAGGACATTTTGGGCATCTATGAAGTATGCATCCTCTCCTACTTATATCGCAAGCCACATATTTCAATAAGTCTTTGTATTGGATACTTTATGGCATCAATTGCCGATGACCATATAGAGATTTGTGCTGTGCCACTTGTGGATTAATTTCTGATAAAAAATAAATTCTGAAACATGTGCACATTGCTAAATTCACACAAAATCTGTGAAAATTTTCTTAACCTGTATGTGGCCAGTAAAACTAAGAGTAAGGTCTATGGCAAAATAAACTGGCACTTTGAACCTCATGAAAGGGAACATCTTCATCAATTTTCATTTCACTGATTTCGTGATGTGGTGCAGAGTCAAATTTTTGCTGGTATTTTGACATGGAATAACCCTTTTCCCTTCTCCCTTGGTCTCAGTAATTCTGTACTTATGCCAAGTAAAGAAGGGTGAAAATTCAATTTCTGTGAATATAGCTTGAAAATGATGATTGTGTACATAAGAAATATTTGCATAAAATAAAACTTAAAAGTTTGGTGATTACTTGTATTCATCTTTCAGCTTAAGAAGAAGTAAATTAAGAATATGATTAGAAAAAGTACTGTTACAGAAGTACAGAAATTAAAATTTTCATCAATCATCAAGCTAAATCACTATCACTTACTTCTAATTATTAGTTACTAAAAACAAAACCTATTCAGTGAACTAACCAAACCTACATTTCCGCAGCGGAAGACGTGGAACCTCCAACATTAGGGGGATTGCCAAGAGTGCATTAGGCCGTCTGGCATTCCCCCAGGTAAGGACACCAGAGGCAACTGTGGACGACCCATATTAGGAGGGCCACCCCTTTGCATCTGCATGTTGGGAACACCCTGTCGTATGCCTGGTCGCATCTGAGGATTCATTAACAGGGGTGGACGCTCCCATGGCTGGATCTGAGAAGATATGCACAAGGTTATAAGTGATGATTGCATACATAAAACTAATCTAAACACATATATGGTGTTTATTACCAATTATATTTGTTGTTTCAGAAAGTGACATATAATTCCAAATAGTCTCACTTCTTTACCTGAAAAAGATTGAAATACAGAATGCCCAATCCAAAGACTATGAATAAAAAGAGAGAGAGAGAGAGAGAGAGAGAGAGAGAGAAGAGAGAGAGAGAGAGAGAGAGAGAGAGAGAGAGAGAGAGAGAGAGAGAGAGAGAGAGAGAGAGAGGAGAGGGAGAGGGAGAGGGAGAGGGAGAGGGAGAGGGAGAGGGAGAGGGAGAGGGAGAGGGAGAGGGAGAGGAGAGAGAGGAGAGGGAGAGGGAGAGGAGAGGAGAGGGAGAGGAGAGGGAGAGGGGAGAGGAGAGGGAGAGGGAGAGAGAGGAGAGGGAGAGGGAGAGGGAGAGGGAAGATGAGGGAGAGAGGGAGAGAGGGAGAGGGAGAGGAGAGGGAGAGAGAGAGGAGAGAGGAGAGAGAAGAGAGAGAGAGAGAGAGAGAGAGAGAGGAGAGGGAGAGAGAGAGAAGAGAGGAAGAGAGAGAGGGAGAGAGAGAGAGAGAGAGAGACAGACAGACAGACAGACAGACAGACAGACAGACAGACAGACAGACACAGGAGAGAGAGAGAGAGAAGAGAGAGAAGAGAGAGAGAGAGAGAGAGAGAGAGAGAGAGAGGAGAGAGGAGAGAGAGAAGAGAGAGAGAGAGAGAGAGAGAGACAGAGAGAGAGAGACAGAGAGAGAGAGAGACAGAGAAGAGAGACAGAGAGAGAGAGAGACAGAGAGAGAGAGACAGAGAGAGAGAGAGACAGGAGAGAGAAGAGAAGAGAAGAGAGAGAAGAGAGAGAGAGAGAAAGAGAGAGAGGAGAGAGAGGAGGGAGAGAGAAGAGAGAGAAGAGAAAGAGAGAAGAGAGAAGAGAGGAGAGAGAGAGAGAAAAAGAAGAGAGGGAGAAAAAGAGAGGAGAAAGAGAGAGAGAAGAGAGAGAGAGAAGAGAAAGAGAGAGAGAGAGAGAGAAGAGAGAGAAAGAGAGAGAGAGAGAGAGAGAGAGAGAGAGAGAGAGAGAGAGAGAGAGAGAGAGAGAGAGAGAGAGAGAGAGAGAGAGAGAGAGAGAGAGAGAGAGAGAGAGAGAGAAGGGTATACAATTCTTGCTGTCACCTGGAATCTAGGGCCTCCCCATCCACTGTTTCCTGGCGGGACATCAAGCCTCTGGGTCCACCTCGGTGGCCACCCCGGTGGCCACTCTTGGTCCCCCTCTCTGCCATCCCCCATTTGGCCACCTCGTCCCCCACCTCGTCCTCTGTCCCGGCCACAGCCCCGAAAACCACCACGTCCTCGAGAATGGTCAATGACATCTGTCTTCTCCACTTTTACTTTGTCTGAATAGAGTACAATGTTATTCATATTACTGTGCTTTCATTACTGTCCATACAGATAAATAACAATTCACAAGAAGTGAAAAGATATAGAGAATCTCATTAGTACATTGCCAAAAATAAATATCAAGAAATCATTCTTTCTTACTAACCTAGAGAGTCTGGAATGGTTCGCTCCACAGTTGTATTTGACAATGATATCTTGGACCTTTCACTCTTGAAACGGTCACGGCTCCTTCCTTCCTCATCTTCCTCCTCCTCCTCCTCTTCTTCTTCCTCCTCCTCTTCTAAAATATTTTGGGTTTCTATGTTAAGGGACTCATCATCTATAATAGCAGAAAATATACTCTGCATGAGATATATGCTCTAAAGACATGCTGTAGCATTTGCAATTCTGGCAGTATGTCCTCCAAATATCAAATAATCTAAATAGGCTATGTTGTTACATAAATACTATTATGGGAAAGCACAGTACACAATCCTCTGCATCAGAATTATGTAACATAAATAGAACACAGGGTATTGTTTACTTCAACTTTATATCAATCAAAGTAATAATTAACTTTGGTGTCATCTCATAACTGAATAAAGAAACTGTTTATTTACAAACTCTGACTATAATACTGTGTACAACTTACTCATGGAATTATCATTATAGTTATCCTCAATATCCCTTTCATATACAGCATCTGATGTCTGTAATGAATGAACATTAGAGGAGTGAGACATGCCCATCTGACCATCATCATCTTCAAACTCATCCTCCACACGTAACTCAATTATATCTTCTTCAACCTGAGGAAAAAAAATTAAAATGGCTTCAATAAATCTGTCCAAGAAATATACATGTAACACAAATGAACTTATAAGTTATGACAAAATTAACATTAATTTTGAACTACAAAAGAAATTATTTCTACCACAACCTCTACAGCATAAAACATTGCAACTAGTACTTTCTTTTCCTGAATTACTGAATTCTGAATTATATATTATTACTACAATACCATTAGTAACTTCAAAAAATAGAACAATTACTTTTACTCAACTATATACTAATCTTGAAAAACATATAAAAAGAATTAGTTTATCATAAAAATTCCCTATGCCAACATACAGATCAGAGATTTCAAAAAGCTACAACATAGGCCTATAGATATAAATGAGATCTTGTAAACTGACCTCTTGTGTTTCACCAGCCAGGAGGGCTTCTTCTTCCTCCTCATCCAGATCATACTCATAATCTAAATCTTCTCCAATCAACTCATCCTCTAACCTGGAAAGAAAAAAATAATTGTTAGCACCTTTACCAAATTTCATTTGTAGGTATATAAATATCATTAACCCAGTGATACCAGGATGGCAGAAGTACATGCCATGTCCACTGTAAACCATCAAGACCACCCCCTCTGCCCTACAATGACAGGGGCACACCACCACTCGAGCTAGAGGTGTAGATAGTAAACGCAGGCATATGTGCAAAATCTTATTAGAAGTCAGGGCAGGGAGCACAGACATTCACTTTCACTGACAGCTGCCAGGCAACTGATTCCAGTGACTCATCATTGGCATGCATTGACAGTTTCCCGTTTGTGCCCAGCTCGTTTGGTAGTTTACAGGCAACATTAGGCACTTAAAAGCTTGCATTTTCCTATAATTTTCAAAATTAAAATTTTTGAAGGTTTAACTTTAGGCCAATTGCCTAAAAGTTTTACCATAGAATTGATACCGCTACTCTCAGAGAAAACAAGCTCTGTCCAATGAGCTGACAGTGCAGGAATGGTTATGATATGATGCCACTGACTACATTGTCTAAAACAGCCATGGCATATACATACATGCCCCATGGCAGTAAGGGACTAAAATCTTTACTATAAGCACAGTATGAGAGTGTACCTATATTTTCATCTCATATACTGTTTAGATATAAATTTCATTTTCTTTAAAATGTAGGCCACATCAATCTCCTCTAGTTTCACCTAAACTTAATAAAACAAAAACGAAGTGAGCAAAGCCACAAATATATTTGCTTTCTTTGGGTCAATTGATTAAACAGTGAATTCCTGGATAAACAAAATTTACTTCTTGTAGAACAAATATACTGAAAAAAGTATCAAGATCTTGTATTACATAAGCTGAAATAGAATAAGAGGGCCACTGTGCCTCTTTTCTATTTCTAACCTCATTCTGGGATTCTTAAACCTCAGTTTCATAAGGAGTAATAAAAATTGATTCATTAGTTTCTGATTTATAATTCAAAAACTGTTTACATAGAATTGGAAAAGATAGTTTTAAAAATTCAGTGTTTTAACCCTTTGGCAGTGGTATTTTGCAATATAATCCAGTAGTACTATTTATTTTGGACTCGGACAGTGGGTGGGACTGCGCTGGAGAGTGCGCACTGTGGCGGTGCTGCTTTCCCTCTTTCATGCATGTGTTTGTATATGTGTATATGAAAAAATATATGTTTGCATATGTATATATAAACACTTGCAAATACATGCAAGCACGCAAACATACATAAATACACTCAGAGAGAGTGGAGGACCTGGCTTAGCATGCATCAAAAGCGTTCAACTCCTTTGGCAGGTAACACCCTATCCCCCACTCAGGCCTAGGGCGGCAAGCCTAGGCCCTAGAAGGCCGCTAAGCCGACACCGCTTAGCGGCTGATATCCCCTGGCCCAATGGCTCCCAGGCCACACGGCTGCCCATTGTTCCATGGGATCGGCTGTCAATTGCACGTTGCATCATATGATGACATCCACGACCGATGGGTAAAGAAAACCTTTCAACCTACTCCTCCAGCTTTTCTGTATTCTGTAAGTTTCCATCTCTGTATCTTATTTCAATTTTATGACCTATCTATTTTCACTCCACTCAAGGCATGATTTTTTTATTTTACTTATATATCATTTGCTTTATTATTTTTTCAGCCCTGAATATCAATATAAAGACAAGTAAGAAAGACGTAACTTAGCTGTAACTTTCATACCAAAGCTTTCCGACTTCATGATTAGAAAATTAATGTTCATAATAAGAAACATTGAAGTATTTTGTATTTAAAAGAAATATTTATGTAATCTATTATTTCCTATGCATGAAAATGAGTAGGAGAGAAATTATTGGTAACAAAAGATTCCTTTCAGTTTCCTCATCCTAAGCATTCATTGGAATGCATTTCATCAATACCAAATCTACAAGTATGTAGGATGTGCAGTTTTCCTTGAGAATCACCAAAATATAATGGCAAATTTCTATAATTCTCAGAAATTCTCAAGCCTCCCTACAGTTGTTGGGTGGAAACTGTTGCTGAACTTACGAGAAAAGTTTATCCCTTGAAAGATATGAAAAACAACAAAAAATGCTGATCTGTCAATATTGCCAAAATTTGCAGTTATGGCCACTACAAGGGAAGAGAATTCTCCATTTATACATGTTTGGAGTGCAAAAAAAAATATTACTGATGGGAATTACATTACAACAAAATTGACCTTACCTATCTGTAGGTAAACATGATGAGATAATGACAAGGGGTGTGCCCATTTTGCAAACCTACAAGGATGACAAATGCTTCAACATGAACTACAACTTGATTGTCCCTTGAACTAATAGGCTAGTGTTTTTGGGTTATTATTTTACATAGAATACAATACTAAAATCAACGATTATCAAGACCACCTCAATAGAGCAGAGGCTGAAAATACCCAAGCGACATTAAAGCCTTTTTATTAGTCCATACAAATTCCCGCGCCCTATATGGAAGCATTATCCATTTTGTTTTTGTAATTTTCTTACTTTATCGTTGCAGCATTTGGTACTCAGTGTGAACTACAAATACTTACTCTGCCATTTTAAGTTTGTGTTACGCGATTTCCTAATCTGAAGCTATAAAAGCCCGAAAAAAGATCTTTCACATAGACGCCTTTTTCATTTTCATCAGATCAATGGACACAACACAAACACTTGACTACAAGGAAGGAAATGCTTTCGGCCCGGAGGAACCATGTTTCATTTGCCATTTCTGATGAATTTGTGTGTCTATGATTATCTCATCTAGCTTTTACCATGTCGTATATGTTATCGTGACATATAATTCACTTTTTGCTGGTCTGGATTCAACGGGACTGTTTATTTAACAAAAAAGACTTTTCTAGAACCAAAGTATTTTTATCTATGCAACAGAAAAACGATTTTTAGAGGTAAACTATGGTAGAATCGAAAAATATAGATGTATGCGCGCGCACACACACACACACACTGATGTTCAAATATGTTACAGGAAGAGTGAAGTTAGACAAGATGACTTTATGATTTTGAATAGAAGGGGGCGAGAGGACACAGGAAAACGTTAAAAGTAGAGGCAAAATAAAGTAAGAAGAATTCCGTTTCTCGAACAGAACGATTGAAACATGGAATAATATTCTAAATAACGTTGTTTGTGCCAAAAATATGCATCATACGATATAGCAGACGAGACCATCTGAGCATAGTTCTTCTGTATTGAAATAACGTGATAAGAACACACGCACACATACACTTACATGTGTGTGTGTGTGTGTGTGTGTGTGTGTGTGTGTGTGTTGTGTGTGTGTGTGTGTGTGTGTGTGTGTGTTGTGTGTGTGTGTGTGTGTGGTGTGTGTGTGTGTGTGTGTGTGTGTGTGTTGTTGTGTGTGTTGTTGTGTTGTTGTTGTTGTTGTTGTTGTTGTTGTTGTGTGTGTTTGTCAATCTGTCTCTCTTTCCCTCTCATCTACATGCCTTTTTTCTCAGCATATATAAAATGTCTATGTAGGTCTACGTTTCCATATAGTAAATCACATACTCTTTACTTTATATACATATGTCTTATATGACATATTCATCTAAACATCACCCATTCCTTGTTCCCGATTTATGAATTTAAAGAATCATGTGTATGACCTATAAGAATAACGGAATGCATTACTGAATAAAATGTAATTTGAAAAAAAAAGTTTACTTGATGAACCTGCGTATAATTCTTGTCATTCATAGGTAATATTAAATCCTTTATCGAACTAGCCAGCACACTGCTATGAAATAAATATGACCCTGAATAAAATATCATCAAACGTTATCATAGGTAATGTATCGCTTTTATTATTTTTTCTTTTTCATAGAAAATTAACCTTACATCAAAAATATCTGTAAATATTAGACAAAAAGTTATTCAAAAAATAATTCCAGTACAACAGTCCTCGTAAAATACACAATTAAAGTATATATCCCATCTACATTAAAATATCTAATATTTCTTTCAATTACAAACGGAAAATCGCCTGACATAATTGGCGGGAAATTTTTTCGACGGGCAGACGAAGAAAAATTTCTCTTACGCTCCCGAGAAACTTTTGAATAACCTCGACCTATTCCCCTTTCCTGTCATTTACAAGAACCCGAGAATCACAATGGAAGATCAGGCTTTAGATGCCGAGGAGTGTGTCCTGGACGATGAAGTCAGCTTCTTCACAGATATAGATGAATTACAAGCCCATGGCATCAACGCGGCGGACATTAAGAAACTGAAATCTGCGGGAATATGTACAGTCCGGGGAATACAGATGACCACACGACGTAGACTTTGTATGATCAAGGGAATCTCTGAGGCAAAAGTAGACAAAATAAAGGAGGTTAGTAACATTTCATAACAGAACTTAGTAAAAATCTTGTAACGTTTAGGTTGTTCATCAGGCAAAGGATAACTAGTGCGATTAATTTCTGTCAGCTGATTTATTTTTCTTTCTATGCAGTGACTCATTGTATAAAGATAATACAATTGTTTACACACGCATAAAGTATAGTTAAATAGTGAATTTCTCATACATTTAGAACAGATTGTTACGCCTGAAAAATTCCTATATGGAGTTATTTTCCCTTTTCGAGAGCTTTCTGCATTAAGTGGTCGCATCATTTACATGTAGTATCATGTCTAAGTCATTGTAGTCATCTAGATATCAAATTGCACCAGATATACAGCGATCAGGGCGTAGCCATGTTCGCATGTTGCCAGGCGATGTTGCAAATAACGACCAATTTAAAAATCATTATACATATCTAGTTTGCATTCCAGTTCAGAACCAAGGAAAATTTAGTTTTATAGAAAGTACACAACTGTTAATTATATATAGGGTCAAATAATATGTGCATAAAACCAAATCATGATTTGAAATATTAGAATGTCTTAATTTCAAACAAAATCAAAACAATGCAGCAGTATGAAGAAATGCATGATGCAATATTAAAAGGCTTTATTTAAGCTAAGCTGTCTATTACTTCGGCTGCCGCCCCTTATGCCTTTCACGAGGCTACTGTCCGCCAACGGTGGCGGCAACTAATTGCCCTTAGCAACTAGTTGCACACTCCGCTCCTTGAATCGGAAGAATGGTAATAAAAGAGCTCCGACTCCTTGCTTTGTTGCCTAAAATAATCGGAGGGTCGCTCTCGAGAGGCGAAAATGCATGTGCATCGTATGTTATCACTATCACACTTTTTCAAGGATTTGTGTGTCGATGCGTTTTACAGCGAATGGCGGCAACTGCGAGTCGCGGGAGCCAGCCACTACAAAGAAGGTTGCAAAGCAGTGGCCTATGGGAGGCAACTGGTTGCCGCCACCGGTGGCCACTACAAAGAAGGTTTCAAAGCAGGGGCCTATGGGAGGCAACTGGTTGCCGCCACCGGTGGCCACTACAAAGAAGGTTGCAAAGTAGTGGCCTATGGGAGGCAACTGGTTGCCACCACCGGTGGCATAGTCCCCTTGTAACAATTTTACTAAGAGTGCCAGACACGCAGTTGTCCAATGTAACGCTTGTGATTTCCTGATATTCATGTGTTCTTTTTTGAAGAAGGTAATATTTTGATAAGAAAAGTACTATTGATGGTACTGATATTCCTGAGGTTCAAATGAATAATTATGTACGTAATTTATGCTAATAGGTCTGCCTAAACGGAATTACCTTTATAATACATTAAATCAAATGACAGTACTTCTATATAATTTCCAAATACAGCATACACCATCTCACTGAGTAATGACTATCCATGACAGGTGGCAGCCAAGCTATGCGGAGGCGACGGGTTCGTGACAGCGCTGGTCATGTGCGAGAAGCGAAAGCTGGTGTTCCGAGTCAGCACGGGATCTGCTGAGCTGGATGTACTGCTCGGCGGCGGGATCGAGAGCATGGCCATAACGGAGGTGTTCGGAGAGTTCCGTACGGGGAAGACACAGATCTCCCACACTCTGTGCGTCACGGCGCAGATCCCCAATGAAGCTGGGACGTATTCCGGAGGGAAGGTACGTTCCTGTTTGTTAACTGTTGATATATTTTGTTGACGTTATCAGATTTATAGGCGAAAATTACCACATGATCGGTATGCAAATTAATTTACATTAGGCAATGGTTTCATTTTAATTAAAAACGTTCATATAATCATTGTCATATGACCTTCATTATAATAGTAATGGCCATGATCATATTGACCTTCATTATAATAGTAATGGCCATGATCATAGTAAAATGAAAACGATAATGACACTATGCCATTACATGATTCTATGTGACAGTGGCATATATATTAATGGCGAGAGCATATGAACAGTACTCACATTCCAATATCTATATTAACACGTCCACAAATATATAGGAACTATAATCGGTATGAACTACGCAAATCAGATACCAAACGATACCATGCTGCCTGACGGTTTATCTAAAGCGCTATCATTGCTGCAGGTCATCTTCATCGATACAGAGAATACATTCCGGCCTGACCGACTGCGCCCCATTGCCGACCGCTACAACCTCGAACAAGACGCAGTGCTCGACAACGTCCTGTACACCAGAGCCTTCACCTCGGAGCACCAGCTGGAGATCCTGGACCACGTGGCCGCACAGTTCCACGAAGAGCCTGGCATTTTCAAGCTGCTCATTGTTGACTCCGTTATGGCTCTCTTCCGGGTCGATTTCAGTGGACGCGGAGAGCTGGCTGATCGACAGCAGAAACTGGCGCAGTATATGTCACGACTGCAGAAGATCAGCGAGGAATACAACGTGTCTGTCTTCATCACCAATCAGATGACAGCAGATCCAGGGGCTGCGATGTCTTTCCAGGCGGACCCGAAGAAACCGATTGGAGGACATATCCTAGCCCATGCCTCGACAACAAGGGTATGTCTGCGCAAGGGGCGTGGCGAAACTCGTATTGCAAAGATCTACGACAGCCCCGAATTGCCTGAGAACGAGTGCACCTTCGCTATCACGGCAGGAGGTATTGCTGATGCCAAGGAGTAACCGGCTTTGTATGCTAAAGTGTTTATTTATTTCTATTATTACGTGTACACAGGTTTTAGAATTTACTGTAACATGATTCAAGTGAATTGAGAAAATTAATTTCAGGTCAACAGTTTTTGCTTGTACTTTTTGTTATTAGTAGTGTATTTGCTAAACCAGTTATTGTTTCAAAAGTAGAATTGTCCATTTGATTACAAAATAGTCTAGATGTTGATATATATATATATACATATATATAATATATATATATATATATATATATATATATATATATATAGTTTTGCAATAAGTTACTTGCTTGATTCAGGTCATGTAATCTAGATTATGGATATCTCTGGTTGTACATCTTCATGGTGTATGAATAATATTAGTATGCTGCTCATTGGAGCATGATTGCATACATGTCCGTACACATTATGCTAGCATTGTATTTTGATCATAACACTCTTATTTGGCGCTTCATAACATTGTGAATATGACTGTACGTGGAATTAAAGGGTTACTTTAGTTGATCGACGTACTCCTTTTATTTCCAGCCAACAAAGATAGTATCTTATAGTGAATAATCCTTGAAGTTATTTGGGACAAGTTGAACGGTGATCTCAGCCAGCCAAGACTCCCGGCTGCATGTATAGCCTGATATAGAGCGAGCCAAGGTCAGGGCACATAGTGGCAGACATACAGTGAGACACGAACCCGGATGTTGGTTTGGTGTTTGATCTTATTGGTATGGAATATTCTATACGTGGTCTATTAGTGAATACATTCTGCTTTCCATATTCGATATCAGGTGTCGATTTCACGCAGTTATAGAACTTAATGTAATGTAGTACTATGCAGATTGATTCCTTCATTATATTGTATTTATTAGACATTTTTTTCTGTACTAGGGTACTTTTTTGCTGATGCTCGTAGTAGTCGGTATATTTCATCATCAATTTCTAAATCGCAAATTCGCATACCTGTTGCACGGAACTAAACCCAAACTTGTTATATCACTTGGGTATAGATTTTATCTCGATTACAGGAACAGTGAGATCAGCGCTTAACCAATGCTGTTGCCTAGTGTCGCCCACCCAAGAAGTTACTAAGCCAGTTCTCCACAAACGAGTTATAAAATGATGTGTGCGTCTAGGGTCTGGAGGTAATGCAAAGTCATCTTACGTAAGGTATAGCTTAACAAAATCATTCTGGCGAATCGAACCCTCTATCAAGGATAATTAAAAACCATAAACTGGAATCTACATGCATTAAAATGAACAGTGACAAAGTTGATCATGCACTGCATTTGTTTTTGTCTAGGTAAAATATGACTGTGTATTAAAAAAATCGTAAAGTAATAATCAGGAAATATAATTCACTGTGAATGATTCAGCAACGCAAGAAAGTTTAAAATGAATTGCAATAGCCCTTTGCAAGAAGCAGAATAATGTTCGTCATGCAAAAACAACAAAAAATGGAGGAAATTTCATTCATGCTCGATGGAAATGGATAAGAATATTTTTGCAATGTAAGAATTCAAGTGCAAAATATTGTTATATATAGAAGAGAGTATACATGTGTTTACGAATCCACCATAGAATTTGCGAAAAGGACACTTTACACTGACCATAGCATCAACTCAATATTTCCTTTTGATTTTCCCTATACATTCATGAATAACCAATGATAAAAATGCTGGCTCTATAACCTCATAGAAAATATTAATACCCATTATTGAGACTACATCAAAACTACATTAGCATAGCCCTCGACTGGATATTACATTTTATTTCAACACTCTTCCACATGCTTTCTTTCACTGAAACAAATATAGATTTATGACCTTTACCAGAATTCTTCCGTGAATCCAGTAGATTAAATATGCTGTTTAACATTATAGTAAAGCACAATGATATACAAACTACTGGTATATGTTAAATTAATGAAAACGGCTATTTGAGGGAAATTAAAATTTGAAAACTACATTTTAAAAAGGGTCCTTAAGATTTATACCACATATGGCTAGGCGCGATATGAAGTAACGAACTATGTAACAGGGCTGTCCTCATTATTTATAGAAATAAGTGATAATAAGTAATTAGTTCCGAGAAAATGGTTTTCGCGGTTAATTTTCACAGGCAGATATTTTTGTATACAATGCCTGGGAAAAGTATGTCAAGTCACAAATTATATTGTGGAAAATTCAGGATTCCATGTCGGTTTTACGGTGACTTGGGTGTGAATTGATATAAATTACTAACGTTCTACTGTTTTTATTTCTAATACGCAGGTAAGCAATGGAACCATGTGCAGTGATTATACTAGATACTAATGGACAGGGCAGTCGCGTCTGTTTCCATTAATAAGGAAAACCTGGAATATTTACGCGTTACTCTTCCAGCACCAGGTGCATCAGACTTTGCAAAAACGTGGCATTGTAGAAAGCAGCAAGAACGACTGGTATGCGGGCCATTATGGCCTGACGAGTGCATGAATTATTCAGTGGTGGCTGTGGCATGCAGGGCCACCCGGGCAGGATGTATGTCTGGTGAAGGCGGAGTTTGTGGTTGCTGCTAATACTATACTGTGATATTGGGCATGGGCAGAGCAGTGTGGAGGCACATGGAGGACTGCGGCCCATTCATGCCATTCAGCCCACGTCCAGAAGTGTGCCCGCGGCATCACAGCCTTGAGGTTGTACGGAACGGCATCGCCATTGGCTGCCTCTGCTGTGACGTCGCTCCTTGTACACCTAATGAATGAAATTATGGCGAGGCTCGGTGGCTAGCCCGTCTGTAGCGCGACCGGACTGGGCATCGGGCAAACTCTCTACAGCGAGTCTCATTGTAATTATATCAAGATGTCTTATGTTTGTGTGTAGTGAATGCCCATTTGCCAAGATGAATTT